TATCGAATAGCGTGCAGTTTCGTGGTCACTTGGAAGGGAAGGCCAAATTGGCCTCTAAAAAGCTTGGCGTGCTCAGCAGAGCGGGACAGTATTTCATGCCGGCACATCGCTTGCAACTTTACAAAGCGCAAGTTCGGCCCCACATGGAATACTGTTCTCATCTCTGGGCCGGGGCACCCCAGTGCCAGCTCCTTCCACTTGACCGCATCCAGCGCAGAGCGATTCGAATCGTCGACGACCGAGTTCTTTCCGATCAGCTCGACACACTGGCACTGCGTAGAGATGTTGCATCTCTTTGCGTATTTTATCGCATCTATCATGGGGAGTGCTCTGAGGAATTGTTCGGACTAATTCCAGCCGCTCAATTTCACCATCGCACATCGCGACAAAACTCGCGTTACCATCCATACCATCTGGATGATTGGCGGTCCACCACTGTGCGATTTAGAAGAAGTTTTCTCCCTCGCACAACTTCTTTGTGGAATCAATTACCACCAGCGAATTTTCCGAACCGATACGACTTAGGGACCTTCAAGAAAAGAGCTTACACCTTTCTAAAAGGCCGGCAACGCATCTGCAATTCCCCTGGTGTTGCGGTTGTTCATGGGCGGCGGTAGTCACTTACCATCAGGTGAGCCGCAAGCTCGTTTGCCCCCTATTCTATAAAAAAAAAAAGAAAAAAAATTCTGAAAAATATCAAGAAATGGTGTAGTTCAAAGAGACAGCAGAGAGGAAGATAAAAGCTCTTGAGCATAAAAATGTTTACCTTGAAAAATACAACAAGGCTTTGGAAGAAAGATTACAAGACCTAGAATTAAAAGAAAAAGAAAAAAACATTGCAATCTTAGGATTAGAGAAAAAGGAGAATGAAAATACTCTAGAAGTAGTGAAAAAAGTGTCTCAAATACTAGAATTATGCCAGGGGGATATAGAGAATGCGAGGAGGGTAGGTAGGGAAAAACCGAACCAGAAGAAAGCACAGCCGATCATTATTACGTTACGCACAAAGAAGGCCCGTGATCAATGGATATTGGCTCGAAAAGTGCGTATTTCAAATGCGCAAGTTCTCGGAAATAATAGCGATCAATTAATATATATAAATGAAGATTTACCAAGGTATAAGCGTCAATTGTTTTGGGAAGCAAAAAATCAACTAAAATCTTATTTCAAATATATATGGATTCAGAATACGAACATACTAGTTAAAAAAAAACGACAATGAGAAAATATTTAAAATAAGTTCTGAAAGTGACATAAACAAAATGTTACCGAGTAGTGAATAAAGTTGCCAAGGCCTGTGCTAAGGCCGTGCGTACACGCCTCGTTATCTTCTATACTAAAAATTCGCACCTATACAACAGTTACCTACCGAAATCGACTTTATAAGGTATAAGGACCTGACACAATGGAGTGAATCTCAACCTGCAAATGGGATACATATATTGCATCTAAATATACGTTCTTTAAGAAAAAATTTCAATGAATTGCTGGTTTTGTTGGAGCATATCAAATATAAAGTACATATGATAGTATTAAGTGAGATAAATATTAAGATAGAAGAACTAGGTTTTTATAATATTAATGGATATATACTTCATGCTAATACGAGGGAAATTTTAAGAGGAGGAGGTCTACTTATTTATATAAAGGAACATCTGGACTTTTTTTCACAAACAATCAACACTCCAGTGGCAGAATTAATTCATGGAAACTTGACGATCAGAAAAAGGACTTTTCATATTTTCTGCATCTATAGACCACCTGCGAAAAATAAATATGGTTTTATTGAGTGCCTAAATACACTAATAAAGGAAAGAACATCGCCTCAAGAAGATATTATTCTCATAGGAGACATGAACATTGATATTTATAACAACAAGTGTAATCAAATTATTTCAAATTATAAACTAACTTTGTGTGAACACGGCCTACACTGTGCAGTGCCTAGCTCGGAGATAACACGAGAAGCGGTAGTCAACGGACGACACGAGCGGTCATGCATTGACCATCTGTGGGTGCGAGCGAGACCGGCTGACACTACATCTGTTAAAACCTACCTTTTACCTACGTAATCGACTGTCATGTATCCGATCATCATATTGTTGGCATTACGTTAGGCAGGGCCAGTCAACTTCCTAATAGCAGATTGGCACCGGGAGATGACCTTGGGGGGCTTTAAGGAAGCGAGATGGAATAATATCTATCTCCCTCGCACGTTATGTTATCTTGCCATGAAAGAAATATTATTTTAAATGACACATCATTTTAATCATTTTTTTATTTAATAATTATAATACTTTATTATATAATATATTTCGTTAAACATATATTTATTACGTCTTTATTGAAGTAACAAAATGTATAAATATGAAACTGCATACTATAATAAAAAGGCAAGTTATGACAACGGCAAATAAACAAAATTACAAATGGCAGATCCCTTGCGCTTGCGGTAGTGTTCTTGTTTATTTGTGTTGCAAATTAAGTTTATATTTCGATATAAACTTATTTCTTACATTACTAACGTTGAGTTGAACATCCCGTTTCTCCGTTTTAGTGTTTACAGTGAAAAAGAGACTCAAAAACAAGTGCTGTGCATTGTGCTAAAGAGACAGAGACTCAATTTTATCTTTCATCGTGAAAGAAAACGAAAGGAAATGTTACAAGTGTGCATATTCTCCTGCTCATGATCGTAACATCACCTTGCATCGTTTTCCTAAGCCTGGGAGAACAAATAGCTTACGGTACGTATGCTAAATAGCTTTTTGATTACTGATTAAAACAGTTTTAAAATGTTTAAATTTGAACCATTGAATTAAAAGTTACAGAAATAAAAATTATTATGGGCCGCATCGGCTAATAAAACCTAAGATACATATTAAGCGATTTAAAAACGTGTGCAAATAAATCTGAAAATTAAAGAGAAATTATGCAGAACAGCATGAGGTGTATCACATAGAAATCATAACATAATAAAGTAGTTATAGATGTATTGGTACACATAGAAATAACTTGTGGAATAATATTTATATATGTATACAATACAATCACATTGTTTGAAAGGAACAATCTCTTGTATTGCACTCTTCTTCCAAGCATGTTTTTAGCACCTCAGTAGTATATTATTATCTAATTGTATTTTTTCAGATGTGAATTATGGGCACAGTATAAATATGAACAGTATGGAAACTAACCCTAGTTGAGGATATAATTACCTACGCACCATTGAAGCAATAGGGTTGTAACTTTTAATGCTTGATATTGCTTTTTTTTATATTTTTGTTCTGTAGTGATCAATCAATCGAATTTAAATAACTAGCTTACAAATACAATTTAAATAGGTAATCTCAGCAAAAAACGATAGTTTAAACACGGAAAACAACTTAATATTAACACACAACAACTTGTAGAACTTTAAATGTGTCATTATGGCTTAACCTTTTACAAGTTTCGGCGGGAAAGTAAGCGAGCCGCAGTTGGACGAAAACGTAACTTTATTCTTCACTAGTTGTTCCCTACGACTTCGCTCGCGTATTAGGGTTTTTATTTTTTAGCACGGAACCCTAATTCTTTTTCTAAAATAAAAGTAGTCTAAGTTACTCCTTATGATATCAGCTATCTGCCAGTGAAAGTGCCGTCAAAATTGATCCAGCCGTTTCGGAGATTAGCCGGAACAAACAGACGGACAGACAGACAAAAATATTAAAAATTGTTATTTAGTTATAAGTACCATATTTACTTTCATATGCATTTAGTAAAAAGCTGTTATTTTGACATTACAAACAGACACTTCAATTTTATTTATTTGTATAGATTATTATAAATTATTTACAGAAAAATATTTTCGTCTGCTACGGCAAGTTCGGAAATCTTTATTATTCAATTTAGCTGTGTAAAGAAATATCATTCTAATGAACAGGTTTTTTTTTAAATAAACTGTTGGGAAACAAGGAACGGGTACTATGAAACCGATTTTGTTTATTTTTTTGTAAATTAGATCAGCTACTTTGCAGTTTATGTGTACTTTTTTAAAGCAACAACGGAAAATCGGTTTCAACACCCTCTAAAACCATGAAAATGACACCCATGACGAAAAAATTAATACCTATTGCAGCCGCCATCTTGGATTTACATTTCAACAGCACTATCGGCTTCAACATACTCAAAAACTATGAAAATGACACCCATGACGAAAAAATTTATACCTATTGCAGCCGCCATCTTGGATTTACATTTCAACAGCACTATCGGCTTCAACAAACTCAAAAACTATGAAAATGACACCCATGATGAAAAAATTGATACCTATTGCAGCCGCCATCTTGGATTTACATTTCAACAGCACTATCGGCTTCAACATACTCAAAAACTATGAAAATGACACCCATGACGAAAAAAATTGATACCTATTGCAGCCGCCATCTTGGATTTACATTTCAACAGCACTATCGGCTTCAACATCCTCGAAAACCATGAAAATGACTCCCATGACGAAAAAAATGATACTTATTGCAGCCGCCATCTTGGATTTACTTTTTGTTACCACTATTACACTATCAGCTTTAAAAAGCCTCAAAACCGCCGCATTCTGGATGTACAAATAAGTTCACGAATTCATTATGATCGATCACACGGACTTATAATTCGATAACGATTATAACAATGACAATAAAAATCATTCTTACCTTTCAAAATCAGCAGGAAGCTTAAAATAAGATAGCTCTGGTTTTGATGAAGCCGAGTTCAAACATTCGTATACTACGCAATACGTTCGTGGCATTTTTAATCTTGAGGCGACACTCGCTACTGAGAGCACCGCGACGAGCGCTTAGAAGTCTCGTCGTTGCGCATGTTTGTGTGAGTGTGCCGTTTCGAGCGTTTGTAGGAAGTTTCCATACTGTTCCTACTATATATTTACTGTGTTATGGGCGAAGTACTGTTTTCCTCATGACTCTTGGTGGTCACCAGAATTTCAAAACAATCTTAATTCTAGGCATTTAATGTTGTGCACTAAACATTTTAAGAAATCATCATTCATTGATAATTTTGTAAAGAGGCTAGTCAAATCTGCAGTACCTGATGAGGAATGTGATAAGGTTAGTTAATCTTTCTTTTGTTACTATCTACATTTTTTTCTTTTGTGTGGCTTTTCTCATACTACAGTGAAAATATTATCTAGTTAACAAACGGTGGTAACAGATTGAGTGGTGATTTATAAGGGTATGCGACGTAACCTACCATTACTTCTCAACCATAAAAAAACAAAAGATATAAACTTTAAAAAAAATATGTTATCTTTTATTAAAAAAAAAAAAACCTTATCCATACTAGGATTTTCTCCTGTATTGTGAAGGCAGTTTACAAATATAAATTGGATAAGGACAAACATCCCCCGGCACAATTATTTATAGGCCATACAAATACTTATTCTGTGCAGCATTCGAACCTGTGACCTTTAGTGCCGCAACTCAATGCTAGCCACTGCACCGCGAGCTGTCAATGTTGTTTAAATGACATGATTATAATTTAGTTACTTACAGAATATATTTACAAATAAAAGAAATTGTTAATATAGTGTCTTAAAAATAGGATGGTGGTGGTAATGGGTTAAAGCAACGTTCATTAATAAAAACAAGTTGTATTTAATGTTTATAAATTTATAAAGGCTGTTTGAAATTTAGAGATTGGTTGACCAATGCTGGGATACATGATATAAATAATGATTTGATAATCTCTAATTTTCAGATCACATTAGCTGACCTTAATTTGGAACAAAGAAATGTCATTCAACATATTGCAGGTCCATCAACTAATAAACAACCACTGTCTGAAAATATTCAGAAGACTATAACTGTTCCAAATGTATTTGAGCCTGTTGCGGGTCCGTCAAAATTTATACAACCCTTGTGTGAGAATGTGAATTATAAGACCATTCCTGACAAAACTAGTGCTATTCCTCAAGTAACTGAGAATATCAACCCTGTTGCTGCTGCAAATCCATCCACGAAAAACAAAAAGGATAAAAAAGATATGTTGATAAAAATGAAATATCATCTGAGAAAAATTAACAGGCTTCATAAAACTGTAAAGCATCTAAAGAATGAAGCATTTCTCAAAGTATTGAGCAAAAATGATTCAGTAAATGAAATATAAAAATGTAAAATATCCCCCTCTTTTGCATTATTTTTGCAAGGAGAATTGCAAAACTATAAAAAAAAATCAAAAGGTCGAAGATGGAACAAGGACTCCAAAATAATAGCACTAAGAGTGTATAAAAGGTCACCTAGGTGTTACAAATTATTAAGAAGGATGATTTGCCTGCCAACACCTAGTTCATTAAAAGCGTTATTAAGCAAGTTTCACATGAAAGTTGGTATTAATGACCAAATTTTTAATGTTTTGAAAAAAACAATAAAGCAACAGACTCCCTCAGACAATGAGTATATCCTTATGTTTGACGAGATGTCAATAAAAAAGAATTTGTTTTACAACAAAAAGGAGGACATAATTGAGGGTTATCAAGACTATGCATTGAAGGGCAGGTCACCACAAATGGCAACACATGCCCTCGTGTTCATGATTGGCGGAATCCGTAAAAAGCTGAAACAACCAATTGCTTATTATTTTTCTAGTGGATCTGTGACTGCAGATAGGCTGTCAGTTCTTATAAAGGAGGTGAGCATTATGGTCTTTTATTTGTTATTATGTCAATATATGTAGTAGTACTTTTTTACCATATTAATTTACCCTTTTATCATTCTAGGTCCTGCAACATTGTTTTGATGCTGGAATTAATATTTCAGCTACAGTGTGTGATATGGATGGTGTGAATAAGAGAGCTTTAAGTATCTTGGGAGCATCTGTAGAACAGCCATATATTCTGCTAAGTAATCGAGAAGTGGTTACCATTTTTGATACACCGCATTTGCTCAAATGCTTTAGAAATATGTTTTTAAAATATGATATTAAATGTCCCACAAATATAACATCAAACGATCAAATTGGATTTGGTAAGATATTTTGTTTTATTACAATCATAATATTATACATATTTCCAATTTACTGGATATTTACACAATTTTTTTTACAGGTGTTGCTAAATGGAGCCATATAAAGGAGTTTTATGAAACAGATAACACCAATCCCAATTTTGTGTTTGCACCTTGCTTAAAACAAGAGCATTTAAATCCAAATACGAAGCAGAAGATGAAGGTGAAGCTAGCTGCACAAGTGTTAAGCCACTCAGTTGCTGCAGGAATATATGCTAAAATTTCACAAGGTAAATTAAATTTATAATTTAAAGTATAATATTTAAACATATATCCACCCATTAAAATAATTATTAACTTAAAAAGGAACTAGGCTCTCCCAAGAACAAATTATTGTTTATTGTGTGATATGTGATTTTTTTTTTGAGTTGTCTTGTAACGTACCTACTTTAAATCATATTTCTTTAATCTTAATAGTAAGATCTTAAATTATGTGTTGTTTACAGGGGAACTCTCTTCAGAGGCCGTCACTACAGCTAATGTTATTGCAAATATGGATTAGCTGTTTGATTGTGTCAACGCATGCACACCAGACCTAAGAAGGGGGAAACCATTTTTGACAAAAATGACAAATAATACACCACATCTCACTTTAATGAAGAAATTTTTTAAAGAAATTACGTTTTTGGGATGTAAACGAGCTCCTCCATCCCAAGAAGGTTGGATATGGTCCATCAATGGAATAGAACGAATCTGCAGTCAATAACAATAATATAACGAAAATAATTTCTACAAATGTAATATTATTGGTGGTGTTCGCGCCAAACGTTGTTGTCGGAATCGACGTCTAGGGGGCGCGCGGTTCTGGGCCATACCGGTTTTTGACGTCGGCCGAGCGGTGGGCTGAGAACACGTAAAGGTAGTAGTCGTCTGCTAGCTGTGCTAATGTCTGCACGCTGTCAATTTTTGTTAGGGAACTCGGAATAATTAGGCGCGGCCCGTAAATATACGGTCTAGGAATTTGTGACGCGCATTCCTGCTGGAGAGCTTCCCAGGGACTCATGGTGTCTGACTCAGAATCTGCATAAGTGCATTCCTTATGCAGATTCTGAGTCGGACACCACGAGTGTCCGGAGGGACCAGTCGCCTTGGATATAGGTGAGTAAGCTCCGTCTAGATTCCTCCCGGTCGACTGGCCGTAGTATAGAACGCTCCCCCATATATTTTAGTGTAATTAGAGAGATTCCACGTGGCCACATTGAGGCCCGACCTCCGTTTGCTCGTCGAAACTCAGCTGATGGGCCCTGAGGATTTGACTTTTAAGGGAGCAGCCGTAGGCCCTAACATACTGCAGTAGTAGCTCCCTGCCACCAGAACTGTTTAATTTTTATCAAACACTATGGTCGGGATCGACCGGGGAATCGAACCCGGAACCACGCTCTGCTACCAGTATGTTAAGTTACGTAACATACTGGTAGCAGAGCGTGGTTCCGGGTTCGATTCCCCGGTCGATCCCGACCATAGTGTTTGATAAAAATTAAACAGTTCTGGTGGCAGGGAGCTACTACTGCAGTATGTTAGGGCCTACGGCTGCTCCCTTAAAAGTCAAATCCTCAGGGCCCATCAGCTGAGTTTCGACGAGCAAACGTAGGTCGGGCCTCAATGTGGCCACGTGGAATCTCTCTAATTACACTAAAATATATGGGGGAGCGTTCTATACTACGGCCAGTCGACCGGGAGGAATCTAGACGGAGCTTACTCACCTATATCCAAGGCGACTGGTCCCTCCGGACACTCGTGGTGTCCGACTCAGAATCTGCATAAGGAATGCACTTATGCAGATTCTGAGTCAGACACCATGAGTCCCTGGGAAGCTCTCCAGCAGGAATGCGCGTCACAAATTCCTAGACCGTATATTTACGGGCCGCGCCTAATTATTCCGAGTTCCCTAACAAAAATTGACAGCGTGCAGACATTAGCACAGCTAGCAGACGACTACTACCTTTACGCGTTCTCAGCCCACCGCTCGGCCTACGTCAAAAACCGGTATGGCCCAGAACCGCGCGCCCCCTAGACGTCGATTCCGACAACAGCGTTTGGCGCGAACAGGTGGCATCTATAATATAATCAGGCTATTGGAGTTTAGATATAATATTGCAAAGCTATTGCCTTGTTTGTAGAATGTGAAGGTAAATAATGTTTTCTTGTTAGAAAAAAGTGTTTATATTAGATTGTCTAATCTTTTTTATATAAAACCAATGTACCTTTACTTTCCATTTTGCTTAAATTTCATGTTACATATGCCGTTTACTTAATAGGTGAAGTGATGAAGTAATTATCTATAAACTAATAATCGTTGACTCGTGTTTTAGCGAAGTTACGAGAATGCTTATTTCTTATACTTCGCTAAAACACACCTACCTCTTAAAAATAGACTATTCTGCTTTACATAACTACTTAACTATTAAATCGATATTTAGTTAAGAGCTGTTGAGAACTGTTTACATGCATAAAGTTAAAAATTAGTTAATTACTCCGTCACTTACGTCCATCAATGTACCAACGGTTTTTCTATGTACCAATGTAGACAAGTATGTAATGTAAATAAAAATTATGTATTTCAAAAACCACTTTTAATTGAAAAATAGTTCCTTTTTTATATTAAAATGATTGCTAATCGCTTCAAAAGTGGTTTTTGAATGTAAAGTACCATAATTTACAAATAACTTTGTGCTTTTGTTTTCGTTTTAATTTACCAATATATATATCATTGAAACGAAAAACTACAAGCTGTATCTATCTATATGGTATTTTACATTCTTAAGCCATTTTTGAAACGAAACAACCAAGACGCCAACTAAAAAAAATCACGTGTCAAAATTCCCGCGCAAAAAAGTTTTAGGGGGCACGACAGAGATGGCGTGCATTATGGGTGCCATTTTCTTTGTTTGAAGTTGACATTCTTCCCGCCTAAGGGTATTAGTCATTAGTGTTCTGTTTCTGTGGTTAGGCGTCTCAGGATTGCAAAGCGAAGTGAATGTTGTAAAAACGGTAAACAAGTGATTAGTGATAAATTGTGTAGGGTAAAGTTGGAAGAATATGATTGGTCCCAGCTTTTAGATTTATCTTGCCCAATGTTATTGTATGAGAAGTTACGTTTACTGTTTGAAAATATTTATAATGAAAGTAAGGTCAATATTGCAGTAAGTAATAAACGATTAACGCAGCCATGGGTAGACGGTAAGTTGAATAATTTAATATTAAAAAGGGATTCTTTATTTAGAGCGTGGAAAGCGTCACCAAAAAATATGAACAAGCGTTTAGAATACACGAGATTTAGAAATAGAGTAAATAAAATTATAAATGATGCCAGAAACAAGTATAGACAAAAACAAATAAAGGATTATAATGGTGATAGCAGAAAAATATGGTTAAATATTAATACATGGTTAGGGAGAAATAAGGCAGATGTGGATTTAGTAATTAAGAAGTACTTGGGTAGAAATTATAGTTTATATAACATTTGCACAAAACTTTCTAAAACATTTACTAATGAAATATTAGACATTAAGCATACTTGTAATTTAAAATTTGGTACGACTTTCCATTGACGTCAGTGGAGTTTGGTGTTGATACGTATTTGGTACGACTTTCCATTGACGTCAGTGGAGTTTGGTGTAGATACGTATTTTTACAGAAAGATTACACTATTATAAGCACACAGACAAAGTCTCAATATACGGAAACGCGTAATTTTTGACAAAAGAATAATTGAAAATCAATTATTCTTGCAATGTTTATGTCTAATCTGCTAATAAATTAAACTGGCGCCATTTTGTAATGTCATTGTCGACGTCAATAGGGATGTCGATTCTTTCCGAAAAAGGTCGATTTTTAAATCGATTCATATCGTAAGCTGATGTATCGATTCCCATAAAATCGATTTCTAAAATATCGATATTTTTTTCATGTTTGCATTTATCATGTAAATATAAATCCATTTTATGAGAAAAAAATCCCCTTCATCATAAAAAATAAGGGGACTGATTCATAAGGATTTCTGTATCTATTTTGAGACTGCTGCGTCTCCGGCGCTGCGGGAAGAGCAACCTCTACGCCTTAGCGTAACAAATCGCAGGCATCCCTCCTCGCCTCCGCAGCTTCGGCTTGTTGGTCGCCTTCGGCGACCAGCCTCAGCCGCTCCTGCTCGTCCGATGCCTACGATTTGTTACAGCAGGCGGAGGCTGCTCCCTCTACGCGCCTCCGGCTCTATAAAACCACTCTAGGGGTAGGACAGACTCGTACCAGGTGGAGTCGGGGTCAATCAATTCGGTTCTTTGACATAAGTTGAACCTAACCTATTTTATTTGTTATCTGCCCTAATAGGTACTGTTAAATAAAACAAATTTCAATAAGAGATCATTTATCATGGTATCTTTCTTGTTTTTCATAAAATGGGTTTATATTTACATTATAAATGCAAACATGAAAAAAATATCGGTATTTTAGAAATCGATTTTTTGGGAATCGATACATCAGCTTACGATTTGAATCGATTTAAAAATCGACCTTTTTCGGAAAGAGTCGACATCCCTATTGACGTCGACAATGACATTACAAAATGGCGCCAGTTTATTAGCAGATTAGACATAAACATTGCAAGAATAATTGATTTTCAATTATTCTTTTCTCAAAAATTACGCGTTTCCGTATATTGAGACTTTGTGTGTATGCTTATAATAGTGTAATCTTTCTGTAAAAATACGTATCAAAACCAAACTCCACTGACGTCAATGGAAAGCTAAGCCACGTATTTTTACAGAAAGATTACACTATTATAAGCACACACACAAAGTCTCAATATACGGAAACGCGTAATTTTTGAGAAAAGAATAATTGAAAATCAATTATTCTTGCAATGTTTATGTCTAATCTGCTAATAAACTGGCGCCATTTTGTAATGTCATTGTCGACGTCAATAGGGATGTCGATTCTTTCCGAAAAAGGTCGATTTTTAAATCGATTCAAATCGTGGTTGTTGGCCAAATAACCGACTTTTTGGAACAGCATAGTATATTATCAGAGGCACAACATGGATTTCGAAAAAATCGTAGCACAACTTCTGCACTTACACTATTTTCAGATACAATTAATGAATATTTAAATGATGGAAAACAGGTTATGGTTTTGTTTATTGATTATAAAAAAGCCTTTGACACTTTGGACCATAATATATTATTGCAAGCGATGGAGGAGTGTGGAATCAGGGGCCCTACAAATAACTTTTTTCGTAGCTATCTATCTAATAGGACGCTCCGTACTGTAGTTGATGGTGTTGTGGGAGAGGAGGCCCGTATTAGCTTGGGTGTACCGACTGGTTCTGTTTATGGTCCTGTCGGTTATATTATGCATGTAAATAGTGTATCTAATGTAATAAAAAATTGTCAAGTGTATATGTATGCAGATGACATATGCTTGCTATTTGCCTCTAAAGAAACAAAAGAATTGCAAAATAATATACAGAGTGACTTTGAGAATATAACAAAGTGGGCCCATGATAATGGCATAATCCTTAATTTTAATAAAACAAAATGCATGCATATACACTCTCCATATAATGCTGCAGCGAAAAACATAACATTAAATGAGATGGCTGTTGTGGGCCACTGTTTGAGTGCTTACATAATAATAAAATGAATTGTAATTGTAAAAAAATTGAATTTGTTGATAAGATTAAGTATTTAGGACTGGTAATTGATCAAAACTTTAATTGGAAACCTCAAATATCTGATGTATGTACAAGGCTGTCAGTGATATTAGGTAAATTCTATTTTTTAAATTACATTTTGAACAAAAAATCTATGTACCTTCTATACTATGCTTTGGTGGATTGCCTCATAGGTTATGGACTTGGTGTTTACGGTCGCACTTTTGCTTCTTATATAAAGAACATTAAAAATTTACAGACAAGATTTCTAAAATATCTTGTAAATGAAAAAGTTAAAGAAAATTGTAAGAAAGATTATAATAAGTTATTCTATATTTGTAAAATTTTACCGGTAGAACACAAAGTTAACATGCTATTAGTTTTGGAAAACATTAATAAAAATCATTATAAAGAAAAAGTGGATAATAAATATAGAACCAGGAAAGTTAGAGAAGGGAAATTAGTTGAGCCTAGTGTTAAAATCTACTATGGTAAAAGATGTACAAAATACTTAATAAATGCTTTTTAATGAAATAGACTGGATAAGGCAAGGTAGACCTGAGTGTAAAAATACAAATAAAAAAAGCTTAAGAAGTATGTTTTAGAGAAAATAGAAAATACATGATAGCGTATTTATACGACAATTTGTAAAAGTTGTAGTATTAGAATTACTAGAATACAAAAATAATAGTGTTTATACTTAGGATTTATTTGCTATTTGTTTGCTATATTATGTGGGTGGGGTACTTATTTAATTATGTAATAGGATGCAAGAGTGCAATTATTCGCCAACAAACTGTCTTTACAGTTTGGCGAAGTTTTAAAATAATGTTATGTTTTTGTAAATATTGGTAAATAAAAAAAAAAATAAGTTTGTTCTCTTTTTAATTGCAGGTGCTCACTGCTCTATTCTTTTTTGCAACTGGATCCTACCAAAGGCCAGTTGGGGTTGCAAAGGACACGTCTCAAAAAATGTGTAGTGTGTACATAGAAGTTACCCAGGAGCTGACACACAAAAATATAATTAATAAATATATTCGGTTCCCTGATACTCCAGCTGCTAGACAAGCAGTTAGTCAATGGTAATAAATATATGCTTATTTTTAAACAACCTTATACAAATTATTCATTAGATTCGGTTAATATTTATTTTAAAATTCAGTTTTTACAGAAAATATGGAATCCCTGGAGTGGTAGGTTGTATTGATGGAAGTCATTTTAAAATAGTTGTCCCACCAAAAGAAGAGGAATATTTGTATTATAATTGTAAGCACTACCATTCACTTAATGTTCAAATGGTAAATCTTAAGTTTTTTTTTATTTTTTATTATTCCTTGGTTAAAAAGGGGTAGAAAATAAACTAAATGTCTTCTTTTCAGGTATGTGATGATGAATGTAGAATTTTAAATGTGAATCCCAAGTTTGGAGGTGCAAATCATGATTCCTTTATATGGGAAAACAATTTAAACACATACGTGCAATCTTTGCACCAAAATGGAGAAATTGTCTGGCTTTTAGGTAATATATCCACAGTATAACTTATTGGGATGTTTTGAGTTATATGAAGTATTTTTAAGTAAAACATTACTATATAATTTCTATCTATATTATTGACATAACATGTATATTTTAACTCTAGGATATTCTGGATATCCCCAAAGCCCAGGGCTTATGACACCATTTGTAGATGCTGAGTCCAATAATTATAATGAAAAACACATGAGAGCTCGAGTTGTTATTGAAAACACATTTTCAAGGCTGAAAAATCGATGGCGATGTCTGGACAAGGATAGAGTTTTGCACTACAAGCCCGTAAAATGTGCACACATTATTTTAGCATGCTCTGTGTTACATAATATAATTATTAATTTTGGTGTTGAGGATACAGAGGAAAATATAGGTAGGTATCTTAATTTTAAATTGAATTACTATAATATATTAAGCTAACTTATAAATAGTAAACTTAATATTAGTATTAATTATGATTTATTTTTAGGTCTGCAATTTGAAAGGAGAATGGTGGAATCTGACCAAATAAGTTACACAGAAAGAGAAGCTACCTCTGATTTAATTAGAGGTAGAATAAGAGATCAATTAGCAAGAAGGTTACTATAGGGATTAAATAAATAAATTTGAATAAGCTTAAATCTTTCTTTTATTTATAAAGCCTTAAATTTTATCACAAATTTAGGGATATTCGATATACATCGATGCATCGAATTCACTCGATGTTTACAATACGATACATCGAATCGATCCGATGTTTTGGAAAGCTATTGATATACTCGATGTATTTTCATAAAACATCGAATCAATGATAACCAGTCATTTTTAAACAGGTATACTTATCTATCACTATTAATATTATAACTTCTAAATCAGAAAAACTAAAACATGCTCTGATTTAGAAGTTATAATATATAAACCTGTTGGTGGCGCTAGTTAGCGGCTGTCAGTCCATTAGCGGAATCAAGGAATTGAGATTGGCTGGTTGTGTATTAAAGAAAATCGTCTGGTCTGTCTCGGTCTTAAGGCGGCTTCTCATTTTCGTGCCGCAGGGCAATCTAGGACGAACAGCGATCGAGGCAATATCAGAACTGTCTCTACACACATGCCTGCCATTCTATGTGAGAGTGTACGTCTCGCTGGACACACGCGTTGAGAATGGCGCTAGTTTTATCAAAATATAAATGAATCGGTAAATATAGCATTGGCTCTTTTTATATAGAATAAGGGTGACAAATGAGCACAGTCCACCTGACGTTAAGTGGATACTGTGGCCCATAGACACCCATATTTATTGATAAAACAACTAATTAATTAATAATTACACCCATAACACAGTCTTTAAAAGCTGCAGTATGACTCTACCACGTTTAAAAACGTTACGACGTATAACGTTCTTTCTGCGGTGCTACCGCAAAAAAAAAGACAAAAAGGAGATACTGGGTGTAGAAGCCGCCTCTTTATACACTTCTATCACCAGTGTCCAAATTTCATACGTTTTATTGGTATCCATTATGACGTGTGCTGCATGCGAAAGTCGCTTACGCACTGTTTGAAATTGCCCCATTTGCATTACACATGTGGCGTGGTAGCTATGATCTAGGGAGCAAGGAAGGTCTTGCGCCCATGTCGCTCTACCGCAGGGCCGACTTAGAAAATTGCCCCTGCTTGTATACACACATCACAATTAAGGAGGCAATTAAGGGTCATCCCCACTCCTACACCCTAGATTGCCCCTGCGGCAGGCAAGTGATAGCCGCCTTAAGACCATTTAACCTCAGACTCATCTCGCATAATTATTCCCCTCTGCCAAGGTATTGGATTTAAACGCTTGTGCGTTTATAAAAATTGCTTACGAAATCGATTTTATTATTACAAGAATCGTTTCCGCCGAAGTAGGTGTTCTTTAAAAAATACCGATCGGTGCGATCATAAAGCAGTCAAAATACTTAAAATTTACAAAAGATGGAGTTATATTCCATATGTAAGTATTTTTATTGTGATGCATGCTTTTTTTCTATTAAAATCATTTAAAATAATATCGTAAACATTGACCTACTACTAAATAGACCTCGGATCTGCACTCAAGTGTCCGAGTCAGAGTTCCAAAATGCAAAAAGAGTTGCAAATGCGCGCCAGTCTTCGTTTTGTCGATTGATAATACACTCCAAAATTACTGTATCACAAAACGAGCAAAACTATTTATATTTATATATATTTTCGATAAGGACTATTTTAATAATTTAAAAGTAAAATTTTGCTTAGATACAACATACGTAGTATTTAAATTAAATTCACATTAATTGTAAAAACAAAAAATCAAACCGATAATTTTCGCTAGAAGCTGCATAAGATGAAAACAGCTTCTTGTAGTTGAAAGGCTGCTAAATTGTAGCAAGTAAGATTATATATAAATAATACATTTTTATAGGTTGACTCGGGACATTTTTCGTGAATTTTGTTCTAGAGCCGCCGTCTATTTAGTAGTAGGTACAATGACTAATGACCATTAATAATAATTTATTTATTCTTTATTGCATTACTTAATATAAAATAATACAAAGGGCGAACTGAAAATGTGTAGCAGAATAGAATAAAAACAAAATAAAAAATAAATAACTAAGATATATATAAATTTTATAATATATAAAATAAATAAATACAAATATAAATAGTATATATAATTGACTGGGAGAGAATGCCTTAAGGTGGCACAAGTCGCGGGCTCGAACTCGCTGGTGGGCGCGGCCAAAAAGCACGCTGTCTCACCTGGCATCGTGCCCGACAGAGATAGTATCAGTGATGAGCATATCGACACTAGTATTCACGCACGTCTTGTTCGTACGGCATTCAGAACCGTTTGAACAAAAACGAAGTTACACGAACACGATGCAACATTTATACTAATATAATAAAGCAGAAAATATAGATCTTTACTCCGTCTAAAAAAAAGTCCGCGATACCATATGTCTATTTTTTATATACTCGTATAAGCCACAATTAGGCATTTTTATTTTGACAAAAAAAAAATGAAAATTTAATTATTAGGCATGGCATATTTATCCTTACGAACGAAAGTTACTTCATTATCAAGACAATTTTTTGAAGATAAACTTCGTTGTTTATGCCATGTTTATATAGTACATAGTTGAGATAATGTAAAATTAAAATAATTCAATACTTGGCCTTGACGCGCAAACAACGCATAACCCCTAGCCCGGTGCGAACTGAGAAGCCAGTATTGAAAGCTTCTATGAGCGAGGTTAGGTTAGCCGTTAGTTCAATCATTATCTATATCTACACAAATAAATAAAATTGAAGTGTCTGTTATAATGTCAAAATAACAGCTTTTTACTAATTGCATATGAAATTATATACGCTACTTATAACACAATTTTTAACATTTTTCTGTCTGTCTGTCTGTTTGTTCCGGTTAATTTCCAAAACGGCTGGACCGATTTTGACGGGACTTTCACTAGTAGATAGCTCATGTTATAAGTAGTAACTTAGAATGCTTAAATTTTAGAAAAATTATTAGGCGTCCGTGCAACAAAATTAACACCCTAAACTAAATGCGGACGAAGTCGCGGGGAACAGCTGGTAGCTAAAATAAATTCAAAATTAATTGAGTGCTTTTATCTATCTCCCAGGTGAGCGTAACAATGATTAGTTAATTCTGAACTCTTTCATTTCACGTTGCTATGGTATTTTGAAAGTTTAATTGATTAATAAGTTTTTATTTTATTTATTTCTTTAAAAAAAAAGACGTTACCCCCACACTAGGATTTTCTCGTGTATCGTGGAGGCAGTTTACAAACACAAATTGCACAAGGACAAACATCCAGACCCGGAACAATTATTTGTAGGCCATACAAATACAAATACTTGATCCGTGCGGGATTCGAACCCGCGGCCCCCTGCTCAGCAACTCATTGCTAAGACACTGCGCCACGGAGCCGTATAAGAGTATAAGAGGTTGATAGCAAATGTATCAAGAATCATTTCTTGCCTACACACTTTTCATGTATCGTGTACGTTTTTCTTTAAAACTGAATAAAACCGCGCATAGTATGCCGACAGATAAAATAAAAGTACTTCATTAATTATGACAATTTTTCCATACATTATTATCAAATAAAATATTTGATTGCAATTATAAAACTAGGTGTCATGTCATGCCATGCATCTCGGACACATGATGACGCGGGTGAAACCGCGAAATGATTAGGCGCTGCTTTATCGCTTCATATTATACCTCTGTGGCTCTATATACCTAATATAGATTGCTTATTTTATTATGTTTAGTTTTTCCGAGTGGTTATGCAGCGATCACTCAAGAGTTCGGCTTCGAACGTGTGTAACTGCAAAAATTATCCCACGGGAACGAAATATTTTATATTACTGGGAGCCGCGGGTTCGAATCCCGCACGGAACAAGTATTTGTATGGCCTACAAATAATTCTTCCGGGTCTGGATGTTTGTCCTTGTGCAATTTATGTTTGTAAACTGCCTCCACGATACAGGAGAAACTCCTAGTGTGGGTGTAACGTTTTTTAAATAAGAAAAAAAAAATTTGTATGGCCTACAAATAGTTGTTCCGGGTCTGGATGTTTGTAAACTGCTTCCACTATACAGGAGAAAATGCTAGTGCGGGGGTAATGTATTTTTAAAAAATAAAAAAAAAATAAAATTCCAGACTATAACCTATCTCTGAGCAAAATATCATCCAGGTCCCTTCAGCGGTTCTGGCGTGATTGAATAACATACATCCTTTCATTCGTCCATCCAAATATCCAAACTTTCGCATTTATAATATTTAGATAATAATTGTAATTAGTTCTGCTTACCTATAAATTTTTTTCAAAAATACTTACCTGTCTTCTTACTTTTTTTTATATATACTCAATATCACTAAACGTAAACACAGGTTTTTATCAAGACAAGTGACCCATCAAGATTGTTTTCTTAGTACTGACGTACCTACCTAAAGTTTACAATTTTGTGGCCACGACGCGGTGACGTTTTGTGACATTTTGTTGTATTGTAGGTTGTAGGTATCTAGGTAATAACAGTAGGTACCTATGAAAATCCCACATAATATACCTTGTTTGTCCGCCGCAAGAGTCGTCTAATAAATAATTAAACTGTTTTGTAATTCTTTATTTATTTATAACACTTGCATTGAGAGCCGTGGTAGCTCAGATGGTTATCGTTCGCCGTAAGTATCACACTACGCGAGCAACCCGGGTTCGATCCCCGTCGGCACCAATGAAATTGTTGCAATTTTATATAGTAATCGTATATTATAGACTTAATTTTTTTTCTTTTATAATTATATTATATTACAGACGAAAATTTTACAAAATTGTCTGTCGTCCAAAACGCATCATCTCTTTCAATTATATCAATTTCCATGCTGTCTTTTGTCTTTGGCGTCCAAATTACAAAATAGCAAAACTTTTCGTTTCGAATAAAACTCGAATAAGCCCGCGTCACCGCCCGTGCATGTGTGTGTAAGCGTCGTCCTCCCGCACCGCACCGGGGCAAACATTATTCAGTGAGATGCACGATAATTCATAGTAACATACGCGCGTAAAAAAATACGAAAAGGCCTTTGGAAGAAGGGGTTTTATGAAAA